CTCCATGGCAACCTTGAATATCAACAGTTTCACAACCACAATCATTGTAAAAACTGGCAGCCTACCATCAATCCATTAGAGGGCCAAAACAGATTTGAAGCACTCTCATCAAGTTCTATTCCCAGAGAATTGTCACTGTTTGAGCTGTCTTACAGTTGTTCCCTAGAAAAGCTTTATTCTCAGAGTTTATCTTTATTTGACTTGACTCAGATATGAGGAACAGCCCTATCCTCAAGGCATTTGTCAAAAACAATCAGTGGCAAATGTTTAACATCACAGCTTTCTGAGGCAATAATACCATTTAGAGCTAACAAGAGACTGACTGAGTAACTTGAAAGGAAAGCTGAAAAATGTGATGTCTGGAGAGGATTTTGATAGGCTCCAGTATATTCCCTGGGATCTGAAGGCCATGCACAGTTTCAAGACCCTGCATATGCCCAGTAAGAATGTAAGAAAGTTGTATTCTCTACTTCTATATGACTTGAGGCTCTTCACAAGCAGGTAGTCAAGGTTAAGGCAGATTTTAAACGGCCTGCTGGAGCATTAAAACAAAACACAAACAAACAAACAAAAAACAAAACAAAAAAACTTTTAGTAAGACTGAGAAACTTATTAGTTCAAGACATTTAAGGAAATCTCTATCTAATCATTAGCTTACCACTAAGCTAACTGGGAAAAATAATTCTGTGGCCACATATAATACAGAATGCACATTTTATTGATTTATACAGTGAAAGTCACTAAACAAATAAACAGCAACAACAAACCCTGGGGACATAGATGATCTGATTTCCAGAGTAGTAGCTTTATATTATTTAAATTGTATAGTTTAAAAAGAAAAAAAGTATGAAACATGCAAAGAAACAGGAAAAGTTATTCCATATACAGGGTGGGGGGTAAAGGGAAGTAATCAATAGAAACTGTCTCTAAGGAGATATTAGTGTTACTAGGCAAAGACTATAAAATATCAAATAGAAATTCTGAAGTTAAAAAGTAAAATAACTAAAATGAAAAATTTACTAGAGGAACTAAACATAATATTTGGACTAGCAGAAGAAAGAACACGTGAACTTGAAGAGAGGTCAATTGAGATTATCTGGTTTGAGGAAAGAAAGTAAAATAATAAAATAGTACAGACATATGGAATATCATTAAGGAATCAACATACAAACAAATTGAAGGCAGCTGTGGTCTGGATATTTGTGTTTTCCCAAAATTCATATGTTGAAATCTTAAAGACTGATGTGATAGTACTAGGAAGTGATGACTTTGGGAAGTGCTATGTCATGAAGGTAGAGCCCTCATGAATGGAATTAGTGTTCCTATAAAAGAGGCCCTTTTCTTTCCATCATGTGATGATACAGCAAAAAGGTGCTGGCAATGAACTAAGAAGAGGGCTCTCTGAAATAAATCAGGCAGAGAAGGACAAATATCATATGTTTGCACGTACAGGAGGATTAGGAGGAATTTAACGGAGGACCATGGGGGAGAAGAAGAGGGAATTGGTGGGGAAAAGGAGGAGAGGCAAACCATGAGAGACTCTTGAATGCTGACAAAAACTGAGGACTGATGGATGTGGGGGCAGGGGGGATGGGCACGGAGGGGGGCACTTGTGGGGATGAGCACTGGGTGCTATATGGAAACCAAGTTGTCAATAAACTATTTGTAAAAAAAATAATAATAAGGTAAAGAACTTGCAAAAAAAATAAAAATAAATTTTAAAAAACAAAAAAAATTAAAAAAAAAAAAAAGAAAAAAAGAAGAGGGCTCTCACCTATTGCTTGTGCCTTTATCTCTCACTTTCCAGTCTCCAGCACTGTGAGAAAAAATGTCCATTGTTTATAAATTATCCAGTCTCTGGTATTTTGTTTATGGCTAAACAGACTATGACAAAGACCCAGAAAGAGAATAGAAAAAGGAAGAAGCAGAAAGAATATTTGAAGAAATTGTGGCCAAAAGCTTCCCAAATCTGATGAAAAATATTAATATAAACATCAATAAATTCAACAAACTCCAAGTAAAAGAAACTCAAAGAAATCCACATCTGGAAATAGTATTGTCTAACTCTCAAAGACGAAGACAAAAAGAGATCTTGAAGTGTGCCTGGGTGACTCAGTCGGTTGAATGTCTGACTTAAACTCAGGTCATGATCTTGCAGTTCTTGAGTTGGGCCCCACATTGGGTTCTGTGCTGACAGCACAGAGCCTGGAGCCTTCTTTGGATTTTGTGTCTCCCTCTTTCTCTGCCCCTCCCCTGTTCTCTCTCTCTCTCAAAAATAAATAAACATTAAAAAAAAGAGAGAGATCTTGAAAGCATCGAAAGAAAAGCTACTCATCACAAACAAGAGATTCACAATAGAATTAACAACTGACTTATTAAAACCATGGATGTCTGAAGACAATGGGATGTCATATTCAAAGGCTGAAAAAAAATGGATAGCCAACAATTACATATCAAGGAAAACCATCCTTCAAAAATGTAGATTATATGAAGACAATACCAGATAAAAACTGAGAGAATGTATTAATAGCAATTCTATGCTATAGACATGCTAGAGTTCTTTGGACTGAAACGAAAGAGCATTAGACAGTAATTCAATCCACTTGAAGAAATAAACAATACCAATAAAGGCGATTAATTAGGTAAATATGAAGGAAAGTATAAAGTGTTTTTTTGTTTGTAACTCCTTTCTCCTCCAATTCGAATCAAAAGACAGGACCATTAAGTGATAATTATAAAACTGTTGATGGAGGTTAAATGTTAAATGTCATTTTCATGATAATAATAATACAAAGAAGGAACAGGGAATCATGATATTGAAGAAATGTTTTGTGAAATTAAGTTGGTATTAATTAGAAATACATTACTTTAAAAGGTCAGTGTTAAATGTAACCTTCAGGACCATAAGTAAGAAAGTAACTCAAAAGATATAGTGAAAGTAAAAATGGCACTCTACAAAATATCTGTTTAACACAAAAGAAAAAACAAATGGAGGAATAAAGTAATAAAATGACATAAGACAGAAAACAAAGAGCAAAATGATAGATATAAATCCCACTTTACCAGATATTATATTAAACATAAGTGGACGCCCCAATCAAAGGCAGAGACTGAGATGGATTTTTAAAAAAGAAACACACTGAGATTGAAAGACAGAAAGAGACTGACAGTAAAGAATGAAAAAGATATACCATGTATGCAGAAACCAAAAGGAAACTGGAACTGCTATATTAATATAAGACAAAATAGACTTTACAATACAAATTATTAATAGAAATAAAAAAGCACATTTTATAATGACAAACATGTCAATTAATTAAGTGTGCAAAACACACATACACCAAACAAAAATGTTTCAAAGTATATAATGCAAAAACTGACGGAATTGAAGGATGAAATACACAAGTCAGCATTAAGAGTTGGAGACTTCAAAATCCCACTTCAATAGTATATACTATGAATTGGGCAGATGATTAACATAGACACAGGACTTAAACAGTACTATAAACCAGGTAGACTTAATAGATTCTATAGAACATTCTATGCAGCAATAGCAGAGTATACATTTTTTTTTCAAAAGCACATGGAACATTCTTCAAGATAGACCATATGTTAGGCAAGCCTCAGTTAACTTAAAAAGAGAAAGTCAGCTAAAATATGTTCTCTGATGGCAATTAAATGAAATTAGAAATCAATAATAAAAGAAAATTAGGACAATTCACAAATATGTGGAAATAATATGCAAATAAGTAACCAATGGGTCAAAATGAAAATCACAATAAAACTTACAGAATACATTGAGATAAATGAAAATGAACACTAAATGTTCGGAGATATATACCAAAACTCATGTGGTACAGCTAAAACAGTATTTATAGAGGACAGTTATAGCCATGAATGCCTATATTTAAAAAACAAGTAATATCTCAAAACAATAACCTAAACTTCCACCTAGGAAACTAGAAAGAAAAAAGCAAACTACCCAAATCAAGTAGTGGAAAGAAAAATAAAGAATACAATGCAAATAAGTGAATAAAGAATATAAAAAAACAATAGAGAAAATCAACAGAACAAAATTTGGTTCTTTCAAAAATTCACCCCAATTAACATTTAGCCATACTGGCCACCAAAAAAAAGAGAGAAGACACAAATTATTAAAATCAAAATAAAAGAGAAAACATCAAGGCACGCTTGGGTGGCTCAGTCAGTTGAGTATCCCACTTGAGATTTTGGCCCAGGTCATGATCTCACAGTTTGTGGGTCAAGTTTCCAGTGGGCTCTGTGCTGATAGTGTGGAGCCTTCTTGGGATTCTCTCACTTCCTGTTTCTCTGCCTCTCTGTCTCTCTCCCTCAAAAATAAATAAATAAATTTTTTAAAAAGAGAGATAAAATATCTATATTTACACTCTATAAATAAAAAGCATTATAAGGAGTACTATAAAAATTTGTATGCCAACAAATTAGATAAACTAACCTAATGGAAAAATTTCTAGAGACACAAATTATCAAAACTGATTCTGTAAGTAATAACAAATTGAACAGACTTCCTCTAAAGAAAATCTCAGGCTCAGATGGCTTACCTAGTGAATTTTAAAACACATTTAAAAAGTAACAGTCCACCTGAAATTCTTCCCAAAAAATAGAAAAGGAAGGAATATTGCCCAGTTCATACCATGAGGCTTGTTTTATACTAATACCAAAACTGGGCAAAACATCACAAGAAAAGAAAACTGCAGACTAATATCCCTTCTGAATACAAATGCAAAATTTCTCAACAAAATATTAGAAAGTGAAATCCAGCCATAAACAAATTATACACCATGTGCAAGTGGGATTTACACAAAGATTCTACCATTATTTAAGCATTTGATAATTAATTAATGCACAATACAATATCAGTAGAACAAAGGTATGACAAAAACCACATGATCATCTTAATAGGTGCAGAAAACACATTTGACAGAATCAAGCACATTTTCATGATTAAAACTCTCACACCAGTGCTTACTTTGACAGCACATATACTATAATTGAAACAATACAGAGAAAATTAGCATAGCCCTTGCACAAGGATAACATGCAATTTCATGAATAATTCCATATTTAAAAACAAAAACAAAAACAAAACCTCTCGAACCAGAAGTAAAAGCAAACTTCCTCAATGTGATGAATGGTTCTGTGAAAAATTCACATCTAACACCATAGTTAATGGTGATTGAATGCTCCCTCCCTAAGATTAGGAATGAAACAAAAGTTTTCACTTTTACCGTTTCTATTCATCATGTAATGGAAGTCTAACCAAGATAATTTGGATAAGAAAAAGAAATAAAAGGCATTCAGTTTAGAAAGGAAGTGATAAAAAATATTCATATTTGCAGAAGGCATATACTTGTATATAGAAAATTCTAAGGAATTATATACATAAAAGTAAAACTATTAGGGCTAATAAATGAGTTCAGCAATGTTGCAAGATATGAGATTAATGTTCAAAATTTGGTTGAATTTTTATAAAATAGTAATGAACAATCCAAAAATGAAATTAATGAAATGTTCCATTTGCAACAACATAAACAAAAAATAATTAAGAATGAATTTAACAAAAGATGTGCACAGTTTGTACATTGATAACTAAAAATCATCCTTGAAAAATGCAAGGAAGACTTAATAAATGGAAAGATAGACCATATTCATAGATTGGAAGACAATGTGGCTGAGAAGACAGCACTCCCTGCATCATTCTACAGAGTCAATGCAATCTCAATTAAAATCACAGTTGACAGGGTGCCTGGGTGGCTCAGTCCGTTGAGCATCTGACTTCAGCTCGGGTCATATCTCATAGTTTGTGAGTTTGAGCCTTACAAGGGGCTCACTGTCAATGTGGAGCTCGCTTTGGGTCCTCTCCCCAACCCACCACCCCAGCCCCTCTCCCACTCACACTCTCTCTCTCTAAAAAATAAATAAACATTAAAAAAAAAAACCCAGATCACTTTTTGCAGAAATGACAAACTGACACTAAAATTTGTATGGATGTACAAAGGACCCAGGGTAGACAAAAAGATCTTAAAAAAGAAGAACAAAATTGGGTGACTAACACCTCCTGATTAAACTCAACACAAAGCTACTATAATAAAAACAGTGTGTTACGTAGATAGATATGTAGATCAATGGAATAGAAATTAGCAGTCCAGAAATTCTCACATTTAAGCTTAATTGATTTCTACAACACTGCCAAGACAATTCAATCACCAGGCTGAGGGGAGTCTCTTTTAACCACTAAAAATTTAAAAAAAACAATCCATTTCAAAAATGGGCACATAATTTGAATAAATAGTTCTCCAAGAAGATAAATAAATGGTCAATAAGCACATGAAAAGACATTCAACATCAATGGGCATTAGGAAAAAGCAAATCAAAACCATGATGAAAACAAAAACAAAAGTAACACCTACTGGGATGGTTAATTTGTAAATTGGTCCAGCCATTTCCAAACTGGAATATAACTCTGCAGTTCTTTAAAACGTTAAATACAGAGTTACCATAAACCCAGTAATTCCACTCCTCAGTGTGTAGAACTGAAGACATATGTCCACATAAAGACTTGTACACTGGGGTTCATAGCAGCATTATTCTTTTTAAAAAAATTTTTTTAAATGTTTATTCATTTTTGAGAGAAAAAGACAGAGTGCAAGTTGGGGAGGGGCAGAAAGAGGGAGAAACATAGAATCCGAAGCAGGCTCCAGGCTCTGTGCTGACAGTGCAGAGCCCAACAAGGGGCTTGAACCCACGAAGCATGAGATCATGACCTGAGATGCTTAACTGACTGAGTCACCCAGGCATATCACAGCAGCATTATTCTTAACAGACAAAAAGTGGAGACCCCCCCCCAAATATCCATCAGCTGATGAACAGAGAAATGAAATTGTGTATATCTATACAACTAAAATATATTTATTGTAAATAAAAGGCAATAAAGTACCAATACTTGCTACAGTGTGAATAAACCTTGAAAACTTTATGCTTAGTGAAAGAAGCCAGACACACAGGCCACATATTATGTGATTCTAATTATGTGCAACTTCTAAAATAAGCAAATCTGTGGAGACAGAAAATAAATTAATGGTTGCCTAAAACTGAGGTAATTGGAGGGAATGGAAGACACTGTTAATGGGTATGAGGTTTTTATTGTGAATGAACTAAAAGACAATAAATTATACCCTTCATAAAAGTGAATTAAAGCATGTGAGTTATAGTAATAAAGCTCTTACAAGAAAATGAAACAACCAGTGCCTATATTGCTACTAGGTCGTGGTGGAAACCGAGCTTCTAACCATTAGATAGCAGATAATCACGTAGCTAGAAGTTACCATTATGACCCATCAAATAAAAGGTCAGAGAAGCCCAGCAACACTCCACAGGGCCGTATATAGGCCCTACACCATACGCCTTCTCTCACTTAGGGTGGTCCAGCTACTGCCACAGCTGAATGTCTGACCTGTCAGTAACATAGACCAAGACCTGAGCCCCAGAACCATACTGTCCCATGAGAAGATCACCCAGCCTCTTGGTGGCAAGTTGAAGATTATCTTTTGTACCCAAGTGACTCACTGGAACATCTTTTCCATACTTCCATATCCAAATGTAACTGTGTTTGTACCAAAACCGGAATCTGACAGAGCATGCTAAATAGGGCCCAGACCACTCTGGGATGTAAGTCTCTATTAACCCTCTAGATCAGCCACTTGGACCAGCATGTGTGCTCACTGAGGGAAGGGGAATCTAGAGCAGGTGGAGAAATCAATGAAATGATGCATATCAGTGACAGCAGCATTTCTTCACCGCGGCACACTTAACACTTTGCACTGAATAATTTTTTGCTTATGGGGGCTGCTCTGTGCATTGTAAGCCATTCTGCCAGTAGCACCTCCAGATATGGTGATGGAAAAATGTCTCCAGACATTGTCAAATCTTCCCTGATTGAGAACCACTGAATTACAGCATTAGGAACAAAAGCAGCAGTTGGAGTTCTTTTTTTTTTTTTAATAGTTTATTGTCAAGTTGGTTTCCATATAACACCCAGTGTTCATCCCAAGTGTCCTCTTCCATGCCCATCACCCCCCTTTCCCTCTCCCCCACCTCCCTCAGCCCTCAGTTTGTTCTCAGCATTCAAGAGTCTCTCATGGTTTGCCTCCCTCCCTCTCCCCAACTATTTTTCCCCTTCTTCTCTCCCATGGTCCTCTGCTAAGTTCCTCCTAATCCATCTATACGTGCAAACATGGTATTTGTACTTCTCTGCCTGACTTATTTCGCTCAGCATAACACCCTCAAGGTCCATCCATGTTGCTACACATGGCCAGATTTCATTCTTTCTCATTGCCGTGTAGTATTCCATTGTATAGATAAACCACATCTTCTTGATCCATTCATCAGTTGATGGACATTTAGGTTCTTTCCATGTTTTGGCTATTGTGGAGAGTGCTGCTATGAACATTGGGGTACATGTGCCCCTATGCATCAGCACTCCTGTATCCCTTGGATAAATTCCTAGCAGTGCTACTGATGGGTCATAGGGGAGCTCTAGTGTTAATTTTTTGAGGAACTTCCATGCTGTTTTCCAGAGGGGTTGCACCAGCTTACATTCCCACCAGCGGTGTAGGAGGGTGCCCGTTTCTCCACATCCTCACCAGCATCTAGAGTCTCTTGATTTGTTCATTTTAGCCACTCTGACCGGCATGAGGTGGTATCTCAGTGTGGTTTTGATTTGTATTTCCTTGATGATGAGGGACGCTGAGCATCGTTTCATGTGTCTGTTGGCCATCTGGATGTCCTCTTTGGAGAAGTGTCAGTTCATATCTTCTGCGCATTTCTTCACTGGATTATTTGTTTTCTGGGTGTGGAGTTTGATGAGTTCCTTACATATTTTGGATACTAGCCCTTCATCTGATATGTAATTTGCAACTATCTTTTCCCATTCTGTCAGTTGCCTATTAGTTTCATTGATTGTTTCCTTTGCCCTGCAAAAGCTTTTTATCTTGATGAGGTCCCAGTAGTTCATTTTTGCTCTTGATTCCCTTGCCTTTGGGGATGTGTCAAGTAAGAAATTGCTGCAGTTGAGGTCAAGGAGTTTGTTTCACAGCAGTTGGAGTTCTAATTTGTCCAGCTAACCCTCCCCTTCTCTTCCCTTTGAAGTTTTCCCAGATTGTGACCACCCAGAATCCTGGAGAAGCTGTGCCTTGATAGGTGTACTTGGCGTAAGAAGAAAGCGGATCTGAGCAGTGACAGCAGTAAACTCTGGTGCGCACTTTGGGTGTCCCATCCAGGTCCCCGTTACCAAAGTGTACCTCTCCTTGCTGCTAGTGTTATGACAATAACTCAAAGATGCACTCTTCTCTGGAGAATTTCCCCTTGCCAAACGGAAGTTCCCAATGTGGAGAGGCTACACTTTTTCACCCCTCTAAGTGGGACTAACTAATGTTATTTTAGCTGCAAACCTTCCTGGGGTAATCAAACTAATGCCAGTTCCCAGCTGAGGCCGCATTCTGCAAAAGTATTCCCTTTGTCCCCTCCCAATTTTCTCATCCCCTCCTGAGTATACTCAACCAATAAACCTCCAGACCAAGAGTCTCCAACTCAGGCTCTGCTTCTCAGGACAAAAATCAAGTATTTAATGCCTATAATGTGCAAGCATTCAACTTAGATTTTGTCAATCTTAATACCACTTAGTCTTCAGGGTAAGAGCTAAATATTATTACTCTTATATGACAAATGAGGAAAAAAACCTCAAGAAGTGTGAGTTGTTCAAAGTTTCACCCTAAAAATGGTAGAATCCATTTGAATCCAGTTCATGACTTCGAAGTTTATATTCTTAACCAATACGCTAGTCTCTCTTCGAAGGTAAAAGGTACAGAAGATATTTATAGTTTTTCGCCTGGAAGGGTGACTCCTCTTCTTGCTGGAGTGGTTCTAAGATGTGTAAAGGACTATGAGCTCCTGTTTTCTGACTGGGTTCATGCACGGTTAGTGTTGGAGAGATTCTAAGCTCCATTCCTCAGTATCAGAGATATGCCTTCAGGCAAGAAGGTGTTTCTGAATTCCTATAAGGATACTCTG